GAAGAGAATGAATGGTCTCCTGCAAACTCCACTCCCCTTTTGCTCCTCTTTTATTTCCCCTGGGAGGGGCCATTCATCACCCACTTTTGGCCTTACTCCCAAGATGACCCCTGTTCTTTAGCTGTTCCCTTCGTCTGGCAACTCTGCACATGCGCACACTGGGAACAGGCTCCAGCTGTTCTTCTGCCTCACTGATGTCTGACTCTGAAGGCAGCTGATAACTGTCAGACCGCCCGGCCCCCTCTCTGCCTCCAACACAGAGCCCTCCTCAGAGCCTTCCCCAGACTCCAGGACTGGCCCATCTTCCTCCCCAACCTCCTCACTGTCCGACTCTACCACCAACTCCACTGGCTGCTGGTGGACCACAACACAACCGGCAGCCAAGAGAAATCTGTGTGAAGGTGTAAAAGAATTACTCCTTTATGGCATCTTGAATTTAGAAGATCAGGTAGGAGGCGCGCAAGAAAGATCTCCCTTGGAGAATCGCCAAGGGTCAAGTCAACGCGACCTTCACTCACATCCTCAGATTCGAAAACGTGGCAGATCATCTTGTACTGTTTCTTCCCTTCTTGCACCCCAGGAGTAGTCTCGATGCAGTCCTGCGACGCCGACCGAGGCATTCTACGGCGGGCCATCAGGACCACGATGTTGCCGATGTCCGCAATGTAAGAGATGGTGCGCAGCGCATGGTCCATCATAGTTTCCTAGGAAAAGGGGACGAAGAGAGCAAACAGCAGATCCCTTGTCACTCGAGAAAGGCTGTTTTCGTTCCCAGTTCAAGCAAATTGGTAATAATAATTTTTAAAAAAAGGTTCAGAGAGGAAAAAAATACAACACAAATGGTTCTTGACTCATGGCGGTAAAGGAGCCTGGAATCTCCGTCGTAGGTCGGTTGTAAGTCGTGGCAGCCAAGGGATTGGGCCCAGTTTACGACATTTTTTTTGAAGTGGTCATTAAACAAATCATTGTATTCCTATAGGGTTTTTTTTTGCCCAGAAACCAGCTAAAAAGGCCAGAAATTGGCAAATGTAATAAATCCCAGCTGCATGGCTGCCGAACACGGCAACTGGCCGTAAGGGTGAGCCAGTAGCCAAGTGCTCAAAATGGGGTCATGTGACCCCCCCCCCCAAGGATGTGTGCGGCCATTGGAACTCTGGAACCAGGTCGTAAGTAGCTTTTAGATGGTTGCGAAACGAGGACTGCCTTGATGGCAAAGTGGCAGTGAGTAAGCACCAATGATTAATAGCCCTAATTCTAATAGGGGCAACTGGGGTGCAGGCCCCATCTTTCAAATCATGGGCAGGTCTGCCTGATGCCCCCTTTTTTTCTGCCAATGCAAAAACGAATAACAGAATGACTGAGTTGGAAGGGGCCTTGGAGGTCTTCCAAGCAGGAGAACCTCTACCATTTCAGACAAAGTCCAGTCTCTTCTTAGAAACTTCCCATGATGGAGTACCCACAACTTCTGGAGGCAAGTTGTTCCATTGGTTAATTGTTCTTCATTAAATCATTGAAACTATTGGCTATGTTTTTTCCAGTTGCAATGGATGGCTGTGAAAGTTGCACCATAAGAAAGGCTGAGCGCCAAAGAATGGAGGCCTTTGAACTCT